CAAAGGATTTCAGGCAGCCCTCAAAAAATGTAGGGGAAAGCGGGAGCTAGGTGGTACAGTAGATAGAGCTCTGGCCTTAGAGTCAGGACAACCTGAGTTCAAATCCAGCCTCAGACACTTGACACTTACTAGCTGTGTGACCTTGGGCAAGTCACTTAACCCCAATTGCCTCACCAAAAAAAAGCAAAAAAAAAAGTGAGGAAAACATCCTTTGTATGTAGAGGAAATCCTCTGGCCTGCTGCAAGTGGCAAGCAGCTCAGGCTGCAAGCTGTGCAGGCCTGGTCTAATACTTCTTTTTATTTTTCCTCTCTGCTGTGATTTCATCTTAATTTTGATTTTCCTCCATGTCTTTTGATAATCAGGTTGGCTAAAAGTTATTCAGTTTTATCAGTTATTCAAAGAACCCACTTTTAATTCTATCATCTCAATAGTCTTTTTTGTTTTCTAACAGATCCATTTCCCCTTCAGTTTTTAGAACTTCCTCTTTTATGCTTAGTTCAGGTTTGTTTATTTGTGGATTACCTATTCATTCAAAGTCACACATTCAGTTGATTAATAATCTTTTTCTATTTTGTTATTATGCTCTCTCAGGGATATAATTTTTCCTCTGGGGAATGCTTTAGTTGCATCTCAGAAGTTTTGGCATGTTGTGGCATTATTGTATTTCACCTTGTTATTAACTGTTTCTATAGTTTGTTCTTTGACCCATACATTATTCAGATATTGCAATTGTTTCTTTTAGGGTTGTTTTTTTTATTTGTCCTCCCTATCATACTTAACAATTTGTATTGTTTCTTGTCTCTAAAAGGTGCTTTCAGAATATATTTCTCCAACAAGAACTTATAACCCCTCTGCACACTAATATGTTGTCAGTTTCTGTAAAGGCATCATAGGATGCTGAGAAAAAAATGTGTATTTTTTACTGTTCCCATTTAGAAGATGCCTTAAATATTTCCACTCCTAAAAATGGTATAATTCTATATGTTAATGTTTTTTTCTCTTATGTTTTGTCCTGCTCTTATACAGTAACATTAATTAATCTTCTATTATTGTGTTACTATGGTGGGGGGGGTGACTCTATTGTCTCTTTAGTGGCATGATTAATGTCATGTTAGAGTAAGCCCTTCCCCCATTACAAGTAGAAGTGAAAAGTTACATCTAACTCCTATTTTGCCTTTCTTTACCCCATTTCTTGTGTAGGGACAACCAAAAGACAAGAGTTCATCACATTTTAGAAACTCAAGTCTAATGAAATTTAGCAAATTAAATTTGCTAAATTAAATTAAATCCACATCCCTCCCCTGAAACACAACACACTCCCCTTTTAGGGCAATGTCTAATCAGTTGCAAGCCCAGAATGAAAATACACTATTCTGTATACTCTAGGTACCTGTGGGAAATTGCTTATATTCAGAAGTCCACTAACACCCACTAAACTCATAGAGGTATGCTTCTCTGTATGACAATAGATGGTTATTTTCCCCGCTTTAATCTGTAACAGCACACAGAATAAGGCCTTTTACTGACTTGCATTCTATACTGAAATAAAATGAGTTTCCTTACCATGACAGTTCTGGTGTCAGAAGTGGGATTCCTAAACATGGAGAGATGAGGAGAAACTGCTGGCCACTTCCTTCCCCCATTCCCTCTCTTGGGGTCCTATTTGAGGTAAGAGAGATTCCTTTTAAATCTCTAATAGGGGGCTGGAGAAGGTGGCTGACTGTGGACTCCACACCTCTTCAAAGATTGGACTTCCCCTGTTGTGGGTTCCAGGTCAGTAAAAACCTGTTCCCCTGTGATTCTGTTTCTGGTTTTTTTGTGGTTGTTTTGTGCAGGAAAGACTTTGAAATCCCCTAAGGGAAAGTCTGTTTTAGGACCTCCAGTAACATTTGTGAAAAAAATTGGGATGTTTCATCCATGGATAAGTTAATAAATGTTTAGCCAACCACTGTGGTCTAGGCATTAGAGATACAAGGATGAAGAATAAAGCAATCTTTCTGCTCAAGAAGTTACATTCTAATAGGTCAGCCAATAAGTGTTTGTGTGTGCATGTGTGCATGTGTGTGTAGACCTATATATTCGCGGGTATATGTATGTATGATGCATGACATACAATGAGTAAATCCAACCATATGCAAAAGAGCTCAAGAGAAGATATTTTGTAAAATTGCACTGAGAGTTGGAATATTAGGAAAGGCCTCATCCACAGCATGGGTCTTGAGCCTAAAAGGATCTTAAAAGGAAGAAAAGGACTCTCTGAGGTAGAAATAAGGCATGAGGAATGGTAAGAGCAAAGGCATGGAGATGGGATACAGAGTATTATATGTGAGGAAGAGATAGAAGAGCAGTTTCACTGGATCAGAGAGTGGGAGAGAGAGCAATGTCTAATTGGGCAGGAAAGATAGTTTGGGGCAACATTGTATAATTGAAAACACGATAGAGGAGGACCCATTTTTCTCATAGAAGCAATAAAGTGTCACTGGAGTTGACTGAGTAGAAGAGTGATGGTCAGGTCCGTACTTAAGGAAAATTACTTCGGCAACAGTTTTTAAGGTAGAATGGAAGGTTGAGAGACTTGAGACTAAGTAGATCAATTCAGAGGCTGTGAGAGTGGTGAGAGCTGAAAAGGACCTGAAGTAAGGTAGTATCTATGTTAGTAGAGAGAAGTCAAATGTGAGTGATATTGTGAAGGTAGAAACAGAAAAATTTGACAACTGATTATATACACGGAGGTGGGGGTAGGAGTCAAAGACAGTGCTGAGGTTTTGAACTTGGGAGACTAAAAAGATGCTTATGGCTTCAAGAGAAATAAGGAAGTTGTAAAGAGGGAAGGCCTTGGGAGGAAAGATACTGAGTTCAGTTTGAAACATATTGAATTGAAGATAGCTTCAGGACATCCAGTTTTAAATGTCCGGTATGCAATTTGTGATTTGAGACTGAAGCTCAGGAGAAAGTCTAAGGCTGGATGTATATGAGATACATCTCCATAGAAATGATAGTTAAACTCATAGGAATAGATGAGATGAGATGGGATAGGATGGAATGGGATGAGATAGAATGGAATCAGATCAAATGAGATGATAGAGAGAGGGATGGGGAGGCTAAGACACAAATTTGGGATAACATACACAGTTAGGGATCATGATATGGATTATTACACAACAAAGGAGACTAAGAGGAGTAGTTAGACAGATAAGAGAACTAGGAAAGAGTTGAATCATGAAAGCCCAGAAAAGAGAGATTATCTAGCAGAAGAAGCTGGTCAACAGTGTCAAATGCTGAAGATATGTAGAGAAAAATGAAAACTATCAAATTTAGAGATTAAAAGATCTGGCTATATCATGTGTGTGTGTGTGTGTGTGTGTGTGTAGGATGGCTCTGTTTAAGTAAGTTCTAGCAAGGGAACTGTGTGATTTTTCTATGTAATTTATTATTCTCCTGAGATTTAACTCAAAAGACAATCTCTTAGAGAAGGTATTTCCTTGAGACCTAACAGATAATACCTTCTTCTTTCAGATCACCTTCATGAATTCTGTATATGTCTTCTATTTATCTAAATATTATCTCCCAATAGAATAAGTTTTCCTTTGGGGAAGGGCTTTGTTTTTTGTTTGTATGTTTTTGTGTTACTTTGATTTCCTAGCATTCAGCACAGTGTCTGGCATGTAGTAAACATTTAATAAATGTGTGTTGATCTTGCACCTTTTAAGGGGAGGGAAAATCACTGATTTCAATCCTGATTTGTTTTTGATGAATGTGAGTGTGTGAAATTTGAGAAAATATTTTTTCTTCTATTTTCTCAGTATTTGACTGTCGAGGCAAAGTTGGGAAAATAATTTATTTTATCTGTATCTGTTTAGTTATGATGAATTGAATTGGAGCAGTCCTGAGGAGGAACCTCTGTTATATTGCCTTTATCACTCTAGATGAGATAAAAGTTTTCTTCTCTGTGCCTTTCTGTCCTATGTGAAGTTGCCTATGCTAATGCTGCTTGTATATATGAATCAAGTTTGCAGCCATTGATCTCAGCTGAAGTAGAGGTATTTTTCAGTAAGAAGATATTCAAATCTTCCCAAGTATATAGGTTATTTTTAAAGACCATATTGAGCTGTTCTTAATCTCTTTTTCTTCTGAATTTGGCTACTCAGTGACACAAGTATAAAATAGTGGAGTAAAAAGAAAAGAAAGATTCTCTCATCTCCTGCTCTTCTGAAAGAGTATTGTCTTTTAAAATTGACAAAGAGGAAGGAAGCCATATTTCATTTTATTGTAATCCAAAGATTTAGATATGTAATTCATCCTCCAAGAGGAAGCAGGGAATAGGTGAAAGGTAGCTGGATTGGGAGTCAGAAGACCTCAATACAAGTCCTGGTTCTGCTAGGAAATAACAGTGTGATTTTGTACAAATCACTTCACCTTCAACAAGGACTCCGTCTTCTTACAAAGTGGAAGGTCTACATTGTGTCTTCTGTCCGTTCTAACTGTAACATCTTATGAATCCATCATCCTAAGCCTGAAATTCTTCTAAAAGTAGAATTATTCATTTGGTTTCTCTCACTGCTTTTCTGGCTGTGGGACATTTTGTTCCTTTATCTCCCTCTTGTTCACCTTCTATATCTCTATTGATACAGTAGTTTCTTTTATTTTTGCTTTGTCTGATATCATGATTGAAACATCTTTTCAGAGCTATTAACTGTAGCAGTGAGAAAGCTCTGGAAATAAAGTCAGTGGGGGGAAAGGAGTGAAGCTGACATCTGAATATTAAGTAAGGAAAAGAAATGCCTATATGTTAGACATAAAGTATTGAACTATAAAAGTAACAATATACAAACAGCTTGAGATGTTCAAGTCTCTGAATAATTTAAAAGCTACATAAGTTTTGGAAATCGACGAAACCATTGGTCATTTGAGGCATTACTTAAAAACAGTGACACAGTACGGTTAAGTTAGGATGTCAATTTTGTTCCCGTTTTATCGCCCTCCCCTCCCTTTCTCCTAGGAGCAGATGCTGTGGAAGCTCGGTGTAAAAAGTTTGAAGTGCGTGCAAGTGAAGGTGGCAGGGTCCTGTTTTCGGCCAATGAAGAAGAGATCGCCATTGGGGCTGACCGACTGAAAGTGACAGGTACTGTGACAGCCAGCCTTGCCTTGGAGCTTGGCTGCAAAGAGGGAGAAGAAATGCCTTATTTCTGTTCTTTTTTTAACCTTTCCTTGGGATTTCCCAATGACTCCCTCCACATACTACCACCACCGCCTCCACCAACAGAACCCTTCCTTGTCACAGAGAGGTAATCTTTAAGAAAACAAATGAACCAACTGATCTTCCCTGACAAAATGGGACCCGTTCTGCACTTATTGGCCACTATCCATCTGCCAAGAGGAATGAGGGGTGCCTCACCCTAAGTGTTCTCAAGACTAGGGTCATCACAGCATTTGAGTTGTGCTATTCTGTCATTGCTATTTTTCTGTACGTTATTCTGATCATTGTGAAAACAAAATAAAACAAAAATCAGTTTCTTCTGACTTTACTCTGCATCAGTTTACACAAATCTTCATAACTTCTCTGATTTCTTCATACCGGTCATTTCCTCAGGTGTAACAATATTCCATTACATTTATATACTTCAGTTTATTCAGACATATCCTAATACATAGGCACTTGTTTTGTTTCTCCTTTTTTTTCTTTCTCCTAATGCAAAAATAAACAGGAGACTCAGTAAATAATTTGCATATATGGCACTTTTCCCTCTGTCTTCTATTTCCTCACAATATATGCCTAGTAATGGTATGGGTGGGTCAAACAGTAGAGTCTAGTGACTTTTATAGTATAAGTACAAATTGTTTTCCTGAATGGTTGAACTAATTGACAGCTCTACCAAAATTGCATTAGTATATTTTGCATAGTCCTCCAAGTTGAATCATTTTTATCTGTGCTGATGGTTCTAAAATGAAAGTTTGGCATTAGATTAAAATGTGTTTGTCTAAGTATTTGTGACTTGGAATATTTTGTTGTATATTTGTGGAAAGTGTATAATTCTTCCTTTGCACATTTCCTGCTCATATGATTTGATAAGTGTGATATTGCCAAGAAGTGTCAGAGTTAGGATTGCAACACAAGTGTCTCTGGCTCTGAGGCTAGCTATTTATCCATTACGCCATGCCAGCTCTCTGTAGTAGAGACCAGACTTCTTAATACTGAAACATTCCACCAGACATAGCAGAAGGCACTTATACTGCCTGCAAAATGACAGCTAGCTCCTCTACAAAGTCACATTCTGCCATCTACATTCTACAGGGGATATGTTTATCCCTGTAGCCATAAAGAAAGGAGAGGATTTGTTGCCACGATTAGCTATGAATGACTCGGAGGTTATCAGGATGTCACTAATTATATTGGTCTGGAATCTGGTTAACCCTCCTCCCACCAGGCTTAGGAATCTTCCTCCTCTGTCTCACCCTCTAAATTGTTACCATCATCAGCCTTAATATCATCACATCTTTACCAACAGACTATCAATACTCTGCATGTGAATAGCTCAATAATTTGTGACTCCTTAACATGGCGGCATGTTACATCAGGACTTCTGAATTCATTTTTGGAGTACATTACACCCAGCGGAGATTTTCACAATTCTGCATTCAGGGGGAAAAAGTTAAGTGATCACTTCCCTGACCAGTGGAGGGTGATAATGCATGCCTTTCAGTGAACACAAATTGCTTAATGCAAGAAGTGATTCAGAGATAATCAATGACTGATGGAAAATTAAAGTGACCTCTCCATTTCTATGTCCTCTGTACCTTTCTTGTTCTTTTAAAGAAATACAGAAGGAAATGTATTTCTTACCACTATGTCTCAGATTCTATTATTTCAACTATAACATCCTATTTTCTAACACTAGTATGTATGTAACCACCATGCCTCATATGCCTCCTGACCCTGCTTCTATGGGGACCCTCCTCCCATTAATGAGTTCTCAGAAGCTTCGCTTTGGGGAATGGCCCTCGATGAACCATCGCTCAGTCTCTGAATCTACCTGCCATGTCCCTACCTGTGTACCTCCACACATATATTTTTTAGCTCTTCCCTTATCTGCTGCTTTTCTTCATCAGGATGTAAACTCCTTGAGATCAGAGACTGTTTTTTTTTTCTTTTCCTCAGCCCTTAGTACACTGTCTGGCACATATAAACCACTTAATGTTTGCTGACTGAATGCTAGTATGTGCACACACAAGGCAGTGATTCTGGAAATGTCCAAACATATATTAAAGGCCCTCAGTATAGCTCAAGCCATGAAACCATCTTAGATCACATCTTTGAATATCCACCACCCCACTGTTTCCCCAAAGTGGCAATTATTATTTGGTATTTCAGTTTTCAACAGGTGAGATAATGAAAAGTATGGCACTTAATTGTACATTTTGATGTGCTATGCCTGAGTAACTTAACAGTCCTTTTCAGGGTCAAAAATAAGCTGGAAAATGGAAAAGATACTTGACTCTCCTCCAAATCTCCAGTGGATAAGTAACTGTACAATCTTAGGAGAAAGACAGGGAGCTGGAAGGGACCATGGGGGCCATTGAATCCAACCCCCGCATTTTTAGAGGAGACAATTAAGACCCAAATAGGTAACACGCCCTGCCCAATTTACAGAGATAATATGTAGCAGAGATTTTATTTGAATCCAGGACCTCTGACTAAATGAATGACCTTTCCCATTATATTTTATTACCTCCTCTGTGGAAGAAGAGAAAATGTAGAATTACTCATTCCAGTATTCTGCAAAGGAGCAGAAATGTGTTGGTGTTCAGTTCTGTAAAATGGGCATGGATGGAGGCACTTGCACCACCTGCCTACCCCTCTGGACAGTATTGGGGAAAGCCATTTGAAAATTGTAAGTGTCACAGAAATGTGAATTGCTGTTATCATTTGCAACTCATTATTATTTTTCTATATCTCATGCTTCTTATATTTTTAAGTTGACATAAAAATTGTCCTGGAAGAAGCCAATGCCCAGTTATTAATCTTTTCTATTAGATGTTTTAAAGACCATTGTGTAGGTAGACAAGAAGTAACTGATTTCTGTAACTCAATAATAGCATTGGGTCATAAGCTTATCTTCTGTAGGCTCATAGAAAGCACTGATAGGATGCCTTCAGCAGTAGAAAGGAGGGATGATGCACACCTCCTCCTGATCCCACAAAGTTCCTTCTGTTTCATTTCTAGATTTTGAAAGCTATGTAGTTAGAGGATACTAAGGCATTTGGTATGGACACTTCTATTAAAAAACATTTTCCTCCTTTTTATGGAACCACTCTTATGTCTGGGTAATTCTAAGAAATGATTTTGCCTGTGATAATAATCTGGTTCTAGCATGGTTTATTTGTAGTATGATGATTGGTGTCCCATTAATTTGTGAAAGATATTAAGCTTCTGGTTGTTGTCCTTCATTCTCTGAGAGGACCAAAATGACATCACTATGTCAGGGTCAATGCACAGTGTGCCTAACTGTGGCTGATCTGACCAATATGAATTCAGAAGGCTCTGCCAGGTCAGGCACAAATAGTCCATGTGAACATTTGGAAGGGAGATGTCTCTAAATCTTCACATCTCAAGTTTCTTTTGAGTTACTGCAATTCTGCTTTGCTTATAGAGCACAGATCTTTCTTTCATGAAGGCATGTTGTGCTGGGTGGTCCTGTGCCAGTGTCTCCCATGTCTCACAATTGATTCTAGAGTTCTTCAGAGGGACCTTGAGAGTGTCCTTGTATTGCTTCTTCTGACCTCCATGTGCACATTTGCCTTGTGTGAGTTCTCTGTAAAATAATCTATTAGGCAAATCTATGTTCAGCATTCCAACAATATGTCCATCCCATCAGAGTTACACTCTATGCAGTGGAGTTTGAATGCTCAGCAGTTAGCTTAAGAAAAGACCTCAGTGTTGGGTTCTTTATCATGCCAGGTGATCTTCAGAATATTTCTAAGATAATTCAAATGGAAGTGATTCAATCTTCTGGCACGTGCTGGTAGACTGTCCAGGTTTCACAGGCATACAGCAATGATATCAGCTCAACAGTTTGGTAGGCAACCTAAAGACTCTTCTCTCCCACACTTTTCTTCAGAGTGTCCCAAACACTGAGCTAGCTCTGGCAATGTGTGCACCAACCTCATCATCTTTGAGTATTAAGCTACTAGTTTATCACTCTAGCCACCAAGATATGCCTTAGTAGGTCAGTTAACCAGTCAGTAAATAAATGTTTGTTAAGCACCTACTGTGTGCCAGACACTGTGCTAAGAGCTGAACATATACATACAAAAAAAAAAAAAAGAAAGACAGTCCCTGCCCTCAGGGAGCTTGCAGCCTAATGGGGTAGACAGAACATGAAATGAAGCTGCAGGGAGTAGAGGGGGGGAGTTGGAGAAGGCATCCAACTGAGGGATATGGTGAAGAAGCCAGTGAAAGAAGTCCCAAAGTAGTACAGCCAGGTGAAAAAGGAAGAGAAGTTTGAGCTGAGCTGTCTTCTTAAACAGAGATTTGTAGTTCATGGCTCTACCCTCCAATCAGAGAAGCAGAGTCATGAGGTAGAGTATCAAGGCTGCTGAGATCTTACAGGATGAGGTTATCCCAATAATGAGCTTCCTGGGGTATGGTGGAAAAGTCAGTCAAAGAAGCCCCAGGCAAGAAATAAGGAAGTGATTGGTAGGCAATAATTGTTTGTAGCCAGGAGGGATGGGTTGCCCATTTTCTACCATTGTTTTGCATAACATGCATTGTTCAATAAATCCAATTTCCTTTAAGATAAGTCATTTTCAATGTCCAATAGAGATGAGCTGGTCCTGACTTGTCATCATAAATGCTTCTCTTTCTATAAACACACCCCCATGATCTAGCCATTTGTTTAGCTATCTTTTGTCAACATATTGTTCGTGTGAATATCTCTCATGAAAGGCCTTTTCATTCTATGCTAGGATCTCAGCTGTTGCATAGGTTCCATCCCAAGTGTAAATGCCTTTGGCCACATCTGAGAAATCCAATGGAATATACCCTTGGTCATTCTTTACCATTGCTCTGTGAAATGATGCCTGCTAGTTTCAAAAGAATTTCTGCAAGTATTAAATGTGTTTATC